TCCCGTGGGGTCCGACAAGGATGTCCCCTCTCTCCATATCTTTTTATTTTGGGGGTAGAAATACTCGCTATTAAAATTCGTAGCAATATCGAAATAAAAGGTTTAGATACTTTTGGAATTGAATCTAAAATTTCGCAATATGCCGACGACTCGAATTTTCCACTTGCTCCCGAACTCGGCTCTTTATACGCTTTAGTTACGGATCTAGAAAATTTTTCCTTATTATCAGGACTATGCCCACATTTTGATAAATGTAAAATATTAAGAATTGGTACTCTAAAAAGAACAAACTTTTACTTACCTTGCCCCTTACAAATACAATGGACGGATGGCCCTGTTAATATTCTAGGAATTCACATCCCAGAACTTTTATCTAATATAGTGGATTATAACTTTGACAAGAAATTGGCTAGAATAGACAAGATATTAATGCCGTGGAAATCTAAGTCATTAACTCTTATGGGTAAAATCGTTTTAATCAATACATTAATTGTCCCTCAATTTATCTATTTACTAACTTCTCTCCCGTCTCCCCCTCTCTACGTTTTTTGACTTATATGAAAAAAAGATATTTAAATTTCTATGGGGGGAGGGACCGGAGCGGGTGAAAAGGAAAACATTGTATGCTACTTATGAACAGGGGGGGCTAAAACTTAGGAATTTGCAGGCTGTGGATTTGACACTTAAAGGTTCTTGGCTGCCAAAATTGTATCTAAATAAAAAATGGTTTTGCTCTAAATTAATATTTTTATCTAGTTCTATTTTTCGTACGAATGTATTTCCTTTTTCCCAACTAAAGTATGTGGATTTTAACTCTTTAATGGGGAAAAAGTCACCTCTTAGTCCTTTTTCATGCATGTAATACAGGCGTGGTTAAAGTTCCAGCTCCGGCCGCCAGAGGGAGCAGTAGAAATAAAACAACAACTTCTGTGTTTAAATTCAAATATTACAATCGATGGAAAACCATTCTTTTCTCAGGTAATGTTTAGTAGAGGAGTAGTGTTTGTAAATGACATTCTAGACTTACAAAATAGGTTTTTATCATTTGATGATCTGACTCAAAAATTTGGGGAAGCCTGTACCGAATTTAAGTACAATCAACTTATTTCTGCAATTCCTTCTTGTTGGAAAACCACGTTAAAACAGACATCTCCAAACCTGGGTGTTTGTCTTCCAGTCTGCAGAAACATAAGCTGGCTACGTAAGGGAAATATTAATAAAGATCTGTATTCATTTTTTATGAACGAAGCCAGTTTATGGGACTCGTCTGATAAAATTAAATTTTCGTGGGAGGAATATTTCGATACCCCTTTACCTTGGCACAAAGTGTATAGTTTGCCGTATAAACTTTCTATTGACTCAAACACTCGTATGTTTCAATACAAACTGCTGTTTAAATTTTTAACTTGTAATAAAACATTATTTTATGGGGGTTAATAGACTCACCAATTTGCAGTCTATGTAAAGAAGAAGAAGAATCAGTCGTCCACCTATTTTGGAATTGTCGAATATCTGCAGATTTTTGGAGTCAGGTGGACAAATGGTTCTTCAACATCACTGGTACTCATTTACAAATCAACGCAATCAATACAATTTTTGGTAACCTGACTGATCGATGCCCGGTTCTTTCCAATGTTATAGTACTCCTAGGTAAAATGTTTATTTTTAAAAATCGTAAGTATTCCTTAAGTTTATCTGCATTTATATCTTATGTTTCTTACTTTTATAGACTAGAATTAAACATTGCGTATAGGCAACACAAACTATTAAAACATAGGGGGAAATGGGGAAAATTAAATACAATTTTTTCAGAATAGATAAAATGTTGTTAAATAAATATTTAAAAGAGTTTTAAAAAAATCCCATGTGTAATTTTAAACCATGTAATTATGGGCAACAGGGTGTATCTGTAAAATTTGCACTACACTATTGTACCTGGATCTTACGTTTTGTTTTTGTGGTTCACCATGTATTCCTTTTTGCACAATGCCATGCCATATTCTGTAACCGTTAATTTATTTTGGAAAATTCAATAAAGAAAGATTTAAAAAAAAAATAAAAATAAAATAAAATAAAATACCATTTGATTGATTGAACATAGCGAACAGTAAAACTTACTAGACAATGGAGGTGGCGACGGTAAGTATATTATATTGATCTAGATATTTGTGTTAATGTTTGTGCAAATGAATATCGTTGTACATCAGGACGTGATTCAGCCGTTGGCTGCAAGGTCCTTGTCTTTATGAACAAAAAAATACCATTTGATTGATTGAACATAGCAAACAGTAAAACGTACTAGAGGATGGAGGTGGCGACGGTGAGCATGATTGCCACTGCTGCTACACAGCTGATCGCGATCACCTCTCCGGAGGAATAGACAGGCGAACAGTCCGGGACAGCAGCTGAAAAGTGAGTCAAACATTTTCTGTTTACACCTTTAAACAGTCCGAGAATAGTTTCATCAGGTTGATAAGACACTGAGGAAAGAGACTATTTTTAAACACAACCAAGTGTTTTATTCGCCTTTCAACAGTGTCGACCGTAGAGGGAGTGCAAGACAGGACGACGTCACGATATAATACATTATGACAGTATTGCCATTTAGAACATATATTTTTTTACACGTCACTTTGATACATTTTGAATCTGCGGGCGTTTATGTATGCACTGTATTCCTGAGTGCATCGTGGTGATTGTAGCAGAGTTTCTGGTATGGATGTATCGTAGTGATTGTAGCAGTTTTTCCGACATGAATGTATCGTAGTAAATTGCGACAGTTTCCACTGTAAACTTACTTGTAGGAGGTGACGAGGGAGTCGCCACAGGCAGGATGTGCAGCAGAACGTCGGCAGTCCTGGAGAAAAGATATTCGTACAGACGTAATTGTGGGCAAACGTATCATAGTTCGGGTCAGAATACATGCTTCTTCGGTTGACTTAACATTTGTTACATAATTGTGGGCTTATTGCGATTTAAGTATATTCATTCTGTATTACTATTGTATCCAGAACCGTGACTTAGTTCTACATGCCCGGATAAGTCAGAGTTGGGATCAGGTACGGTTCTGGATAGTCTCCGCGTGTTCAAGAACGCAGATTTGCCCTAGGCTTGGTTCTGGATAGTTGTGGGCTATCCAGAACCGTGCCTGGGCATAATTCTGGATAAAGCTTGGTTGGTTCTGGATAGGCGTTGGTTATCGAAAACTGTGCCTGAGCATGGGTGTGGGTAAAATGCGTTTCTGAACTGTGCCTGAGCATGTGTTTGGATAAAGCGCGGTTCTGGATACGCGCGGACTATCCAGAATTCTGGATGAAGCTCGGTTGTGGATACAACACACATCGGGTCAGAATGTAATAACTATGCTTCTTGACTAAACATCTGTTACAAAATCGCGCTTCTGGATACAAGACTCGCCTATCGACACAGATAGAGCCCTCACCCCCTCCGTGCCGGGTGTCCCTTGTCCTCTGCCTGGATGACGAGGCGGTGCAGGTAGGCGTCCACTCCCGTCAGCACGGTGCCATTCGGGTTCACCTCTAGGAAGACTCTTCCTTCCCCTATCCACAGGTCGCCAAGCAAGTCGAACTGGAGGGAAAACAGAAATGTTAAAGCACGTGCGTCGTGGTAGAAGTTAAACACCGACGTTAGACATGGCCAGGGCACGTCTACGCATGAACAAGAACAGGCATCCTTACGTTGCCCAGATACACACATATGAAAATTAAGTCTACAGATGAAGACTACGTACCCATGTGTCGTCATGGTTCTTGATGCTGTACTCCACCTCTCCGTCTGTTCCACTGTCGGCGTCCTCAGCCGAGACGGTGATCAAATGAATGAAAGGTTCCGAACCCCCCATCAGATTCTCCCGGGTCCGATTCACCGTGTAGCTTACTACAGAGAGAGCGAGAAACAAACCCATGCAATACAAAATCTTCATCTGTATCTGTATAGCAGGTATACGTATAACCGCCCTTCGGCGTAACACACCAGCTTCTGTATCTGTATAGCCGGTATAACCGCCCTTCGGCGTAACACACTGGTCAGATTCTGTATCTGTATAGCCGGTATAACCGCCCTTCGGCGTAACACACCAGCTTCGCAGGCACGCGGCGCGGCAGCAGCTGGCTACATTACACCGACCGACTTGTTACACCTAACCCTTGAACATCTAACTCTAGACATTGTTTAAAGCTATCCAATGACAATGCCCCTACTGTACTTGGTGACAGCGAGTTTCACTCTGCGATAGTTCTAGGAAAGAATGGATTCTTGATTGATAACTCCTTGGTTGATAACTCTGTCACTTGAAGGCATGGCTCAAGTTCATCCTGATATGGGTGGAATCTATTCTAATCTTCGCCTTTCAAGACATAGGCTTGACAAACCCTATGTATCCAGAGCCGTGCCTATATAGTACTATTTCCAAATGTTAGGGTCAGGCATGGTTCTGGATAGTCTCCGCGTATCCAAGAACGTAGATCTGCCCTAAACCAAAACACGGTTCAGGATACGCGTGGACATGGATACGCCAGAGCATGGTTCTGGATACAACTCGGTTCTGGATACAGCTCGGTTCTGGATACAACTCGGTTCTGGATACAGCTCGGTTCTGGATACAAAGCACGGTTCTGGATACAGCACGGTTCTGTATCAAGCTCGGTCCTGGATACAGCACGGTTCTGGATAAAGCACGGTTCTGGATAAAGCACGGGTCTGGATACAGCATACCGTACCTTGAGGGAACTGCGGCGAGTGCCTGTTGCTGCTGATGTAGGGAACAACGATGCGGAACGTCAGGACGTCTTTGAGGCCAGAGTTCAGGGCGTCTTCCACAATCACTCTGACCTGAAAGGTCAGAAAAGATTCACACGAAAATAGTTACTCATTGACAAGCAACTGGGTAGATTTGGAAAACTGTAGCAGCCACCACTTTTCGTCAGTGACTAAAGCAGGTATAGAAGAGAGCTACCAGAGATACAATTCTGGTAGTCACTGACGGAAAGTAGTGGATGCTACTTGAAACGTCTGACAGTCTTAAAACTCTTTCCACATCACTTGATTGTACTGTCACCGTGTCTAGTCATGAAATGTTGGAATATATACATATATAAAATGTAGACGTACACTGATGACGTAATCCTCCTTGGCGTCCGTAAAGTTTAGCGCAGACGACGTGTTGACGTCGCCGGTTTGGTTGTTGATGGTGAGGAGACCGTCGGGCGTGGAGAGGCGCGCGTCCAGAACATCGACGCCCTGGATCCGGTACAGCGGCACGGCGTTCGTCCCGACATCCGCGTCGGTAGAGAACAGCCGGGTCACGTGCGTTCCCACGGAGGTATTCTTGAAATTTGAAAAAAAAAGGCTAAACTGGATAATTAATAGTTGCAAAGCAAATGCATAATGTTTACTCTCCAAGCAGAGAGTTGATGGTGGAAGATCGTTTGCTTTTTATATATGGTCCGTTTTTGTCGCTACCACCACCAAACGGGCCATATTTAAAAGCAAACGATCTTTGCATAATGCATTATGGTACATAATGTTTACCTTCGGATATGGTCTGCTTTGTTAATTCTTACTCAAACACATTCAGATACATGTACTACTAGACTATATGGTGAAAGGAGCAGAGCAGACCGTGAAATTGCAACATTATGTAACCCAACACCATGGTGACAGACGTCAACAAATCATGTCATTGGTCAGGTCATAGGTCACCGTTTGGAGAAGAAGAAGAAGAGGAAGAGGGGGAAACTGAGAAAAAACAATATGTGTTCCTTCGGTAAACATAAAAATCGGCGCTCACAAAACATAGGACCCAGGGATCGATCCCAGGAGCTTGTCCAAACCTGATCCCCGGTGTTGTGCCCTTGGGAAAGGCACAATTAACACGCGTTCATTTAGAGGCACAAGTCTCCAACGGCAGTTGTCTTCAGCTGGCGGACAATAGCAGCGCCAGGCGGGCTGGTTTGATCAAGGCGGACCTTGAACGTAAAGAAATCATCCGACAGTTCGCTGCAATCATCCACGCCGGTACCAGGGCTCAAATGCGCCATATTTCATTTTAGTCCAATCCTCTTAACATGAAAAGCGACGCCTACCGGCAGGAGACGAATTTCGTCTGCTGTGACGTTGTCTCGGACGAATTTGGGCGCGTTGTCGTTCACGTCGTCGATCCAGATTTCCAGAGTGGCCGTGGCGGTTCTGGGGTTGATGACCGCGCGGTCAGTGGCCTCCACGGTCAGGTTGTAGAAGTCCTGCTCCTCCCGGTCCAGCGAGCGGTTTGCCCACACCTTCCCGGCCTGATCCACTGTGAAGAGACCTGGTAAAAACATAACCGTGCGGTGTCATACTACAAGTGCACTCAAACACAAAACAACAAGCAAGTCTCCATTGCTTCACACTAAAAGAATCCTCATCGGAACAAACGGCTGTTGAAGATGCCAGAGAACCATAAAAATCACAAATCTTACAGTTTATAAGCTATATACAGTACATGTAACGCGTTATGTACAACGTATGACGTTACGCATAAGAATTGCAGGCTAACCGTTGTAATAGCTGAATGCTGGAATACAGGGATGTAGAATTTCACATTCAATGAAGATCAAACCAAAATTTCAGATCAGATGGGAAAAATGAGTCTCCGAAGTCAAAGAAGCCGATTTAGGACGAAGGTCTAGTCTATACCCACCGTGGCGTCGTGGCATGTGGCGTCGGTGGCCCAACGGTTAGAGCGTTGGACTCGGAACCAAGAGGCCCCGGGTTCGATACCCACCGTGGCCCGACATTGTGCCCTCGGGAACGGCACTTTACACGACTTCCCCACCATGTACGGTGGAGTGACGCCAACAGAGCCTCTTCGGCTAATTGTCTGGGTGCCAAAAACACCCTACGGATTTGGTGCGCCGATGTGACAACATCTGCACATTGGCCAATGAGAGCCGTTAATTTTTTTATATGTGCCCACCGTAGTCGTCCACGATGCTGTAGTCGACTTCCCCGTTGACCCCCAGGTCGGCGTCCGTGGCCGTGACCGTGAACAGTTCCCGCCTCTCCACGCTCCACGCCTCGCTGAAGCGGTCACTCAGCCGACTCTTCACAAACACGGGATCGTGCCGGTTGGAGTCCGTGATGTTGAACACAACCTGGCCAACAACAGATAAGCAATGTTAGTCCGCCGCGGCAAATAGAAGATCACTTGCGATAGACCAAACTGTAAGTAAAGGGGATGGATGTGTACTGCATGCAGATGTAACGGCACAGCAGTGAAGTACATTATCTTATATTCTTTGCAATTGGTCATACCAGACAATCTAGATGGGAAACGGCATCGACGATGTGATTTTTCTTTAGAATATTTGTGTCGAAAAAGAAAAGAAACTCTAGAGGTTCATTCAGCTTTAGATTTAATATGATGATGGTGATGAGAGTTGATAGAACTGTTTTTAGGCCACGGCGTTAGTGGAGAGGAACTTAATAATAGTCCGATAGTAGTCTTACCTCGACGGACGTGTGCTTCCGGTCCGGTCCGCGGTCGTAAGCCGTTACCACGGCAACGCAGTACTCCCGCTCGGTCTGGTTGATGCTGAAGAGGGGCTGACGGGTCGTCATGACGCCCGTGGTGGCGTTCACGAAGAACAGGCCCCCGCAGACGCCGCCTGGAAAATGGACAAACAAATCTAAGGATTCAGACATGATACTCAGTTGGTCCTCTGTACGTCTACAGATGGTCTTCTGATTAACCCCGGACGCACTATTGACTAGGGCTAGTTTTCTTGAAGAAGGCCCAAGGGTTTGTTGTAAATTTGGCGAGACCGCGAAAATTTGTTTCTGAACGAACTTTTGACCAACTTAGCCTCCATAGCATGCCAAAAGCTTTTATGTGCTATTTTCTGATTGCATATAGACAACATAGCCGGTCTGGTTGAATTACCCCCGTTTTTAGAACTGGGCTAATCAGAAAACAGCCGAAGACCACCAAACCCCCCAGTTCTATAAGCCTGCTACGGAGGCTATGACCAACTCATCTTCGACCAACTCTTCAGCTAGACATCACCAACCTGGCTGCTCGCCGTATTCCACAGCTCCGTTTTCCCCGGAGTCTGCGTCCGTGGCCGTGACTGTGAACACGCTGTCCAACAGCGACGTGTCCTCGGGCACCTTCTTGCGGTACGGCGTGCCCAGGAACACCGGCTTGTTGTCGTTCTCGTCCGTGACCATGACCGTGACCTCCGCTGATGACGAGCGGGGAGGGTTTCCTCTGTCCTCGGCCAGGACGGTGAAGCTGTAGCGGGAGACCGACTCGCGATCGAACGTGAAAGTCGACGCTATGTCCCCAGTCCGCTCTGAAACAGTTTCGTGGAAGCAGGACGAGTAAGGTGTAGCGGGATATTTTTTTTATACATTCCAACATGTAATTACAAGACGTGGTGACGGCACAGTCAAGTTTTGTCAACTTATATCAATGTCGCCACCAACACAGGGGACAATGCAATACTCATTTTCACCTGAGCGAAGTGAGGAAAGTCGAACGGTGCCTTGGTGCAACTACTTTCTTCGATAAACGTTAACAGTGACTATCCAGAATCGTGCTAAGCCTAATCTAGTTCTATGCCTAAATGGGTTAGGGTTAGGTTCATGCTGTAAGGCCATGAATAGTATAGTTGGCAGGGTAGTTGAATACTTGGTTACCTCCTATAGTAAAGTTGTCTGCTCCAATCAGCGAGTACCGTACTTGGCCGTTCGTGCCGATGTCGTCATCCGTAGCAACAACTGATAGGACCTGTGGCGGAGACAACAGAAACAGTGCACAGATGTAGTTATAAAAAAACAGCCTAGAACAAAGAGATTCTTTTTACACAACCAAGTCTTTTATTCAGCCGACGTTTCGGTGACCGTCTGTCACCTTCCTCAGGGCAACTCTGACTGGTTCACATTACATTGCAGCACAGGTGTCGCTGCTACAGATGCATTCCCAACTGTACAATATTTACATATCTACACAAATGCGTGATTGGATTACAGGGAAATCTACATCTACAATGGGTTCCCAAACGTGCGGAAGTCAGAATTGTCCTGAGGAAGGTGACAGTCGGTCACCGAAACGTCGGCTGAATAAAAGACTTGGTTGTGTAAAAAGAGCCTCTTTATTCAGTGTCTTACCAACCTGGTGAAATTACTCACGAACCTATAGCAAAAACACGTTGTTCTTACTGTTAGCATGTCAACATTAAAGCCTACACTGAAAAGTAGAGCTGACCTCCTCACCCTACAGCCGGACTGGAATGTGGACTATAAATACGGATAGTGGCAAAGGTTTGTTTGTTCATGCTCTGTACACAACACAGGGTGTCTGCTACAGCACTAGTTACCATGGTGACAGACGTCTGACCCAGGTCATTGACCTTATGTATTTGGAGAAGAAGAATAAAAAGAAACGGGGCAAAAATCGCAGAAGGAAAACAAAAGAACTGAAATAAGCACAGTTCTTAGTGATATGAATCTTTATTGCATGTTCTTGCCCAGATGGGCTAAATGCACAAATGTGACGAAATGTGGTCGAGAGGATAAAAAAAAACATGAGTATTGCATACAGGAACGCTATATTCTAATGCTAAGTGCTAGGAGTCTATATATTACAACAATACTATATACTACCTATCATCATCTACTGTTAGTTGCCCTTTCTTGAAACGTCTGGAAACATAATCACATAGTTTGTCTACTATTCATTCGTTCTTGCATGGCATCAAGTGTTTAAACGTGTCCTGCTTTGACATTTTTTTACCAGTTTGTTGTCGCTGTTTTCCGGGACGCTGATGTTGTAGTACTGTCGTGCGAAAGTCGGGGCGTTGTCGTTCACGTCCCCCACCCGAATGGTGACGGTGGCAGTGGAAAACAGATTTCCTCCGTCTGTGGCCTGAACAAATATCGCAGAAAGTCGCACTGGACAATGTTATCAACATGCAACTGTTACGTGCAGTTCAGTAGGCTTCTACTCTGGAACCCTGATACCGGCAAGAGAAGAGTTGGACGCCCAAACATAACACTTAAGAAACTTATTGAAACTAAAACTGGCTTGGAGGGACATGAACTTTTCTCTGTGATGTATGACAGACAGTTGTGGCGAGCTAACTTTGTATGCTCCACCTCTACTACAGAGGATGAATGATGATGATGATGAACTGTTACCTAATCAAAAAGACAAAATGGGTGGCGTATCGGACCCTCTCTGGCCAGTGGATACTGTCTGTGTTTTTTTTGCCACCCCAGGATCTGCTTGTAGACGAGACGTTACCTGTAGCACGATGAGATGAGAGTCGGCCGCCTCCCGGTCCAGACTGCCGTTCACGCGAACCGCTCCCGTCCCAGGGTCCACCGCGAACCTGCCATCCCCTGCCACGGGATACTGGAGGTGAGTACTACTCTTCTGTTGAAGAGGATCATCAGTCACGTAGAATTAACAGTTAGTAGAAATTCTTCGATCAGTGACTGTATTTTTGTAAGGTAAATTACGTACCTCCAAATTTTCGATGTCCACTATACATCTTGTTCACGGAGTGACCTAGTCTCGCGAGAACACGAGACTAGAGGGAGGCGAGGCCAGAAGATCCACACAAGTCTCGACCTAGTCTCGTGTTCTCGCGAGACTAGGTCACACGTAAACCCACACTTCTCCTGCAGTCTCTTAGAGTCACTGAAGAAGAGTCACTGTAGATGCTACCTGAAACGTCTGACCGTTTGCTTTTTGGCGTATCTTATTACCTGGATGTCTAACCTTCATCGACGGATAATGATGATGTTTGAAGCACTGAGAAAACTGAACAAACGATGTTATGTTACCGTTCAGTTTACTGAAGACGACGTGGGCGTTCTGCCCAGCGTCAGGGTCTGATGCTGAGACATTGAGGATGATGAGACCAGCGGGAGCATCTTCCGCAACATCCGCAGCGTAGGACTCCCTGCCGAACTGCGGAGGGTTGTCGTTAACGTCCAGGACTTGAACTGAAACCTGCAGAATGGGGGCAAATTTAAAATAAAAGTTGTAGTTCAAGTCTTTTTACATTATTTTAAACAAACAAAAAGCTATGTGTGGCACTGACGATAAGTATCCGAAAGGAACTGTGGTCGTGTGGCGCAACGGCAACGGCAGCGTGTGCGACTCGGAACCAAGAGGTCCCGGGTTCGAGTCCTGACATGCCACCGATCTTGTGCCCTTGGGAAATGCACTTTACACGACTTTCCCCACTATATAGACTCAAGTGAAAATGAGTATTGAGTAATTATTGTAATGAGTATTCCCCACTATATAGACTCTATAAGTGAAAATGAGTATTGTCTGTCCAGTATTCGTTTCTATGTGCGGGACACAACACCAGCAACAGTTGCCTCTGTTCCGCGTGTATTGCACTGCTGCAATTTCAATAAATCAAATCGAATGAAGTGCTGTGCGAAGTTCTGATTTACAACATTATCATGTGCACCTCATGTAAGCAGGTGAGAACCTTACTGGTTGTGTAAGAAGAAAATTCTATACCCTAAACATTATCATGCAGCAAGACTGCACAGTAAGTAACACTTACCACTGCGTACGCTTTCCGTGGAAATGAAAACTGACCAGCAGATGATTCAGTCGCTGCGACGATCATATAGTGGTTGTCCTTAACCTCCCTATCCAGCTGAAGCTGTGTTCTGATTATACCCTAGAAAAAAACACAAACAGTTCAATTGAAAATGAAAAGCCAAAGTAAAATGAGGTACGGTGATCAAGTAATCTAACGTAATCAAGAATTATCTTGGTCCAGACTTCGGCTACTTGAATACATTTCAGTGAAATATGCATGAAATTCCCTTTATTAAGTGTTTCAATTTTTTAATTCGCGGTAATAACGAGTCAGCACAGAAAATGTTTCTTCGAATAGTTGGACTTCAACTGTCATCGTTTTCACGAATTTTTTTTTTCGTGTTAAGTTAGGGGTTTGGGTTTTGGCATATTTTTGGCGTATTTGTAGTCTTTTTTATCGCACTTTGTTTTGCACGGGTATCTCTTTTGGGTTGGAGTGTAAAAAAATTACCAGTGCAAAAAAAATCCCGATTAAAAAATAAAAACACGCCACAAATAAGCCAAAATACTGCTTAGAGAGTAGATTTAAGTAGTTTTCCAAGTGCCAGTTAGCCAAGACTTACTGTACTGCTGTCGATGGAAAAGTTTTGGCCCGTCCCTGCCGATTGCAGACTGTATCGGACCGGCTGGTCGCTCGACACATCCACCGTCCCGATGACCGTGTCCGGACCTGAGTTTTCGTCGATGTTAAAGTCGTACTGTTCGCTGTGAAACTGCAGACTGGACAGGGAGGAGCCGTCCTCCACGTGAACCTGGCAGACGAAGGAGAACTTTATTTATTTATTTATTGGTTCGGCTGGTACAAAACAGCCAGGGCAGCCCAACTAGCTTGAAGCTATTATTAAGGGCTTGCCCTGGGGAAAAAGTGTGGTTAAGTACATACAAGTGACATAAATTCTTAAAAACGTCTTAATTACACAGGGTCAACAAATTGTGGTCATTAATATATACAGATTACATACAATGCAATAAAATTATTACATACCGTAAGATTGATGGAAAGAATACATGCATGTACTGTCTTGAATATGTATGTATGTACTGAAGTATGTACTGAAGGAGAACTTCTCAACTTACAGACCCTATCAACACTGGGGCTGATAGATACAAAAAAAGTCCAATCTCTTACATGGTGTCTCTTCTAAACAGTACAAAAATGTAACAGCACCGCAAGTTTGACGGAAAGTTACTTCCCCCTAACCTGGGAACTCATGATGACTGTGCTTCTTTGTTGATAACCATGACTTATACAAGGTATATAAATTCATTGAGCCAAAGTGTTTAACCTGTCGATTCAGACGTGATTGCAACTTGTATTAATGACCCTACTATTAATGATTTATGTTGTAGACAAGCATCGAAATTCAGGCTTGTACGTCACGGCTGCCAGTCATGCCATTGTTGATACAAATAAACCAATAAACAAACAAACAAACAAACAACCTGCAGAGTTGTGTCGGCGACGTGAGACCCGTCTGTCACCGCGACGGTTAAGTTCGTGTCCGTGGCGTGAGGAAGGCTGGAAACGATGTTAAAATCGCCTTTAGATCTGACACAGCAAAATGATATTGAACTTTTTGCTCAAAATAGGGCCCTTTACTCGTACCCAGCTACGTTCGGTATGTAATAACATTGATTGCCCTCACCTATCACATTCATATGTCTGCTCTCGATCTCTTATAACTGACGCGATGACAAACAAAGGGACAATATAAGTGAATTGAAACGTGTTATGTAACGTCGTGGGAAAAGAAAAAGAGGCAGACATACAAATGAAGGAGAAGTTTTGAACTGTGAATGGTGACCTGGCGTTCATAGGATTACCCTGGCGATCAGCACGAAAGTTGGCCAGGAACAGACCAGATGGAAGGAAAAAGTAATGACCTTATGTCTCGTAAGGAATGGAGAGGATAGAAAGGTAAGTAAGTATACATGATCTAATGTGTGACAGGCTGAATAAAGGTTTTAAACGGGAACTATGCGGCTCCAGATGTCTTACTGAGGGACGACTGCGAGATGTCGTTTAGCTTGAGGAATGGATCTCCTCTTCTATATATACAGTATACATGATTTTGTAATAAAGACAGACTCACGCTCTTTTTAAGACGACGACGCCGTCTTCCTTTCCGATGTCAAACAACCGATCCCGATCCATGGCAATGCTGTACTCGATGTCGCCGCTTGCGTCAGGGTCCTCCACAGCAAATATGGCGACCAGAGTGCCCGGACGAGACCCGCCCAGCAAGGTGACTTCGTCAGGAGGCTCCAGGAACGTCGGGGGCACGTCATTCACGTCACCTGTGCGTACCAGGTGAACACATCGACGGACGTCACAACTTTCGGTTAACAGCTACGTATCTGTATCTTCGTGTAGTAGAGGTTTTAAAATGTAGCAAATTCCTAATTGCAGAGGAGATGCAGACACACAACTTCTGCTGTGCGTAAGTGTGATTGAAACTTGTCCAACCAGGCCGTCTATATGCAATCAGAAAATAGTACATAAAAGCTCCCAAAGACCCTGAAGATCCCCAGTTTTTGGCATGCTATGGAGGCTACACGGTTCTGGATACAATTATAACTGTTTGGGTTACTTACCGACCGACAGCAGGATGGTGACGCTGCTGGATAGCGCGGGTGTTCCCATGTCTGTAGCGGTGATGCCGAGCTCGTACGTGTCCCTTTCCTCTCTGTCTAGGGGAAGATCGTTCACGATGGCCCAGTGTTGGGTGGAGCTGTCCAGCATCACTACAGAGAACCTATTGTTGTGGACCTGGAGTTAAGTAGGGGCGTAATCGGTAGCGTGTTCGGTTCAGTACCAAGAGGTCCCGAGTTGGAATACTATCATGTCACCGAGCTTGGGAAAGGCACTTTACACTTTACTCTTCCCCACTTCACTCACTAGAAATGAGTACCTAGCTTCGGTTAGGGACGTCCCTCGGATGAAGGTCCGTGTTTTGGGAGAACCACACCCCATTTACGTTAAAAAGTCCTTCCCGGAGTGAGTGGTTCAAACCTTACAGTCCGGTCTTACGTACGCAGCGTCTACTTACATGCACAAAAATGGTGTGTTACGCCTGAAGGCGGTTTACCGGTTATGCGAAACAAATGAACAAACAAGCAAACAAACTAGCAAGCAAGCAAACAAACAAACAAACCTGCAGGTGCATCGACCCGCTCACGCCGGCATCAGGGTCCGTCACGGTTAGACTGAACAGGCGAGTCCTGGCAGGCAGGTTCTCCGTGGTGCTAATTGGCTCTCTGGTGAGGAAGTGACGTATCGTGACGTCATCGAAGGACGGGGCGTTGTCGTTGACGTCAGTGACCGTGACGTTGACGTTGGTGAAGGTGGAGAGGGACGGGGAACCCCGGTCCTGGGGAAACAATGAGGTGCACTCTCAGCTTTTGGAACGTCGCCATTGTCTACCTTACATGGCCGCTACATGGCCGCATACATTGCGTCGAACTTGTTAGGAAAATAAGTAGTAGTATCTCTATATATAGACCTAGATCCAGAAACCTATCTACGGTATGAAAATGTGCTTTAATAATGGTCTGTACTGTATCCAGAACCATGCCTATCTATAGCTAGTTCTATGCCTGAATGGGTGTGGGTTAGGATCAGGCACGGTTCTGGATAGTCTCCGTGTATCAAAGAACGTAGATTTGCCACCAGGAACGGTTCTGGACACACATGGGCGGCTAGAACCGTGCCTGACCATAATTAATATATTAGCGTGTACTAGCAAGGACCGTGCCTAAACATGGTTCTGGATAAAGCACGGTTCTGCATACAACAGTCAGTGTGTTTAAAGTTAAAACTTTTGGTCCAACACAAAAAATTCTCTCACCTAGAGCTTTTGACCAGTCACTCTGGTCTTCCTCAGTAGACTGACCCAGTGAAGCTTGTCACGTGGCTTCTTTGAAGTGTGACGTCAACACTGGGTCAAAGGTATCTGGTAGACGATGTCGGCCCCCGTCGCGGTCGAATGCTCTAGGTGAGAGAATTTTTTGTGTTGGACCAAAAGTTTTAACTTTAAACATGTAACTACCAACACAGATGAACTTTCATGAGTACATCAGCTCACCTGTGCCCTGACGGTCAGAGTGTACCGGTCCTGAGTCTCCCGGTCCAGCAGATCGCCCCGGACTAACGCCAGCTGTCCAGACGAGAAGTCCAGTCGGAACAAGCCGTCACCGCCGTCCGCGATGAAGTGATCCACCTTACCTACATCACAGGAGTCAAAAGGTCAGAAATCACAACTCTTGTCAATGTCTTTAAGGCAATTCGTGGCAGTGCTCCGATGTACATCGGATCTCTGTTCAAGTGGGAGTCTTCTCCAACATTAAGTGTACGGACTACTCGGTCAGAGTTGAAGCGTCTTGGGGACGACGACCCTCACCTACTCTTCTGTCCACCAGCAAGAGTCACGGCATACCGGAGCAGTCTACAGTACTTATAATGGTCCTTACCTGTGGAACACTCTTCCACTACAGCAACGACAGCTCATTAGTCTCAGGACTTTTAAACAGATCATTAGGAGCAGGACTTGACACTGTTGATGAACACTGCAGGCTGCCATTGCAGGCATAGCATTTCCCTTCATCCATGTACATTCGAAGTACTATGTTGTGAACAATTACTTCTTCACGAGCTGATAGCTTACTGTTGTGTTCAGAATCTCGGTCTGTTGCTAACACTGTTCCAACAAGCGCGCTGTCCGCGGAGTTTTCAGGGATGGAGAAATGAAAGTCGTCCTGACCGAACTGCGGTGGGTTGTCGTTCTCATCCTGCAGTTCGATGGTTAACCGCGCCGTGGCGCTTCTGTAGCCCGGCATGCCGTCCATGTCCCTGGCCTCCACCTTCAGACTGTAGCTCTGCGCTGTTTCGTAGTCCAAGTTCCCGCTAACGAAGATCTGTCCGGTTGTGGAATTCACTGTGAACAAACCTGAGCCCTCTCCCGTCAGGCGGATGTCGACGCTGCTGTGGATGCCAAAATCCTGGTCAGCAACGGACAGTTCTGGGATCTGTGGCATTGTCAAGGTGGAAAAGTGTCATTTTACTGACGATTGGTCTAAACTCTTACGTGCTAGACTATGATTTATTTCCAAGCGTATAAAATCTACTGAGATATTTTACACGTATAAATTACCTTCAAGACCTGTGGTGCTACTGATAGCTGCTAGGATCTGTGGCACATGTACAGACTTTCGGTAGCGGCAGAGTGCTCGACTCGGAACCAAGAGGTCCCGAGTTCGAGTCCTGATCATATGCCACAGATCTTGTGCCATTGGGAAAAGCACTTTACCCGACTTTCCTCACTTAACTCAAGTGAAAATGAGTGTTGTCCTGTCATGTATTTGTACTCTGTGTTTGTGGCGGCATAAACTAAGTTGATATAACTTGAGTGTGCCGTCGCTAATGTCATGAAATGTTGGAATAAAAAAAAGTGAAAAGACTCACAATCGTGACCAGTTCCCCCATCGGCGTATTCTCCCGCACAGTCCCGCGCAACGTCACGTGGTCAAACACAGGGTCGTTATCGTTGATGTCTTCAAGTATGATGACCACCAAGATCTGAAACAAACGAAAAAAATTTTAAAAATGGGGAAAATGAAAAAAAGGCATCATTTTCCTCCTATTTCCTTCTACTTCCAGTAAGCCAACACCAGCTATGATGATGCTATTTGAAAAGAGAATATAGGAGACGCTGCTGCCTTGGCTGGTACTAGACGGAAAAAGAGAAGGAGGCGAAAACTACAGCCGTTAGGAAACATAAGATCTCTGAACGAGCAGACAACAAAGCCAGCAAAGTAATGAACTGCAGCATTGAACAGAGAGATGCGGACGAGATGGCAGCCGGATGATCAAGAGTTTTTGTAACAACCGCAAAAGTAGCCATGGCAGAAGTGGCATGCAAAGAGACGAACATGAAGTAAGTATCCAGAACAGTGCCCTATCTAGTTCTATGTCTTAATCAGTTAGGGTTAGGACCAGCCACGGTTCTGGATAGCCCACGCGTGTCCGAAAACGTAGATATTCCCCGTGCACGGTTCTGGATAAAGCACGGTTCTGGATGCCTGCGGACTGTCCAGGACCGTGCCTGGTTCTGGATAAAGCACAATTCTGGATGCTCGCGCACTGTCCAGAACCGTACCTGGTTCTGGATAAAAGCACGGTTATGGATTCACGCGGACTATCCAGAATCGTGCCTGGTTCTTGATAAAGCACGGTTATGGATGCTCGCGCACTGTCCAGAACCGTGCCTGGTTCTTGATAAAGCACGGTTATGGATGCCTGCGGACTGTCCAGAACCGTGCCTGGTTCTGGATAAAGCACGGTTCTGGATGCTCGCGCACTGTCCAGAACCGTGCCTGGTTCTGGATAAAGTGCAGTTCTGGATGCCCGACGACTGTCCAGAACCGTGCCTGTTCTGGATAAAGCACGGTTCTGGATGCTCGCGCACTGTCCAGAACCGTGCCTGGTTCTGGATAAAGCGAGGTTCTGAACAACAGACGACACGTACGTACCAGACCCTGCCTGTCGCAGCCGGACTCTGCGGTGGGTTCGACAAAGAACTCGTGAGAAGGTTCCGTCTCCCGGTCCAGCCCTGAGATCAGTGTGACCTCACCCTTCGGAAACAACAAATACGTAAACAAACAAACAAACAAACAAACAACTCAAGACGATCATCATATTCCACAAGTCTTTGTGACTACTTATGAATTCAGCAGACGTAAAGCTCATGGACAGAGTTGATTTTAAGACGTTACTGACGGTTTCGTTGTGGACATGGAAGTATTTCTGGTTGATGCCGGACGGGTCCTGCATGGTGTAGGTGTAGGAGATGGTCCCGTCGCCCGCACTCGCCGGAACCGTGGCGTTTAACAGGGCAGTTCCTGGGGGCACAGGCGACTTCATGGATCATCCAGACAACATCATTGCCGTATCCAGAACCGTGTTTTATAAAAAACCATGCTCGGGCACGGTTCTGGATAGTCCACGCGTATCCAGAACCCTGCCTGAGGACAGTCCCGGAGCGATTATGCAAACCCAGTGTAGAGGTAGGATGGTACCGAAAATATGCTACAGAAAATATGCATCACAGTCAAAGCTACAAACGATACAACAGTTCAGTGCCAAATACATGCTCACTGACAGATAGGCAATATGCATATGGAGAGGACTAAGAGATAGACATCAGGCAATAAGACTAGAGATACGAACCGATCGCGACGTCCTCTAGGACGCTGACCTCGAATCTCGTCAGGTTTCCGACAGCGTCGTTAGACAGTAGAGACAGCTCCACAATCGTGTTGACATGTCGGGGCGGCTCTCCGTTATCCACCACTCTGACCTGATGGGAAGCAGGGACGAGTTTTATAAAAACCTTTCGTTCAAAACTTGTGGGTAGAAATTGGCGAACTTCATCACTGTAACAAAAGTCTAAAATCTAAAATTATGTCCGCAATCTACATACTAAAACTAGCCTCTACCAGGCTTGGGGAGGCGGCTGGAAAGAGTAGAAATTGGCCGAATAGAGAGATAAGCATGCCAAGGGAGTTTGTCCGTTGAGAGAACATTTTGCCGCGCCCTTGGCATGCTTATCTCTCTATTCCGCCGATTTCTACTCTTTCCAGCCGCCTCCCCAAGCCTGGTAGAGGCTAACTAAAACTAGCAATCCGGATCTAAATCATAGATGCGTTTTGGAAGCAAATCCCTGTAAAATGTCTGAGTCGTCGTGAGTTACAATCACCTTTAAGGGGATGTGTTCCCTGATGAACTTGAAGTTGCTGATGACCGTGATGACGCCCGTGACGTTGTTGATGAAAAACAGCTCGGAGAAGTCCTCGCCAGCTTCCGGTTCGATGGTGTAGGTCAAGGTCGCGTTCTCTCCCACATCCGGGTCCTCCCCTCGGACCAGACCAACTATGGAGTTGATGGGGGTGGACTGCAGGATGTACTCGCTGCTCCAGTTCTCCACGACGACGGGCGGGTTGTCGTTAACGTCGGTCACGGCCACGGTCACCGTGGCAAAGGTGACGTCATACCTGGGTTGGTGACGATACCGCACAGGAATAAGTATCAGGTTTAGGTTCATGCCCTTGGCAATGGCATCCTGGAGCTGGTAAGTACTAGTAGGAGGCCATTTACATACATGTACATGTAGCAGGGAGTTAACTTGAGAATAATTTTTTGTCGACTTTTGGTCTGTAAACATGTCATCTAGCGTATCTCAATGGGGAAGAACAAAGTGCAAACCTACCCCCCCCCCGTTACACCACGGTATCCAGAACCGTGCTTCTATCGGTATCTACAACCATTTTAGGCATGGTCCTAGACTGGATGCCATCCTATTTGTATGCCGGGGGGAGTATGGGAGCCCTGGCATACAAATATGATGGCACCCAGGCTAGGATGGTCCACGCGTATCCAGAACGGTGTCTGGGGCAACTGATCTTCGTTCTTGGATAAGCAGAGACCATCCAGAACTGTGCCTGATCCTAGCCTAAACCTAAACTATCAAGGCATAGAACTAGATACGCACGGTTCTGGACAGTACCTACAATACTCTCCACTATTGACTTATCTCAATGAAGATGTCCAGACACCACACCTGGTTGCCAAGGCGACCCTGAAGACGAGCGCGTCCGTCTCCTCCCGGTCCAGCCAGGCGTTGTTGGTCAGGACGCCGCTGGACGGGTCGATGGAGAACCTGGCAGCGTCCCCTCCCGGCACCAGGGAGAACTGCACCGGCGGGGACGTCTGGTTCACCAGGCTGCCCAGGTCCGCAGTCGCTGCAGAGAACAGATACTGTAAATCTTGTAATGTTCGCGGTGGTTTTATTTTCACGGTTTTCGCGTTGACCCACGCCAACTCAATGCAGCTGGCATCCCAGTAAAAGAATGGGAAAGTGTGGCCTCCGACAGAAGTGCCTGGAGAGCAGCGACCAGAGAGGGAGCGGAGAAATGGGAAAAAGCCAGGAAAGAGGTAGCAGATGAAAAGAGGAGGCGACGAAAGGCTGCAGCCACTCAGCCGACAACAGCAGCGACTTTCACATGTCCGTCCTGCCGGAGGACCTGCGGGTCAAGAATCGGGCTACACAGCCACATGAAGGCCTGCAGGGGACTGACTTCCTTACATCTTCGGACACGACGAAGAAGCCAACATTCGCGTTGACCGCTCCATCGCAAAGTCATGACATCGCGAATGTCATTTGTTTTAGGTAGTACTACAGCTGGATAACCAGCAGGAATGCGCGAGTTGGCCTGTTGCCTGGTTTATTTTAATCATACTGCAGTGTGGTTCACTTAGCAGAGGTCATTATTAGAGGTTATTAATAGCAGAATGTGCCTGTTCATTAGAATTTTTCGAGTTTGAAAGATTTTTCTTGTCTATAAGATTTTTTTTTCTGTACTGGGTGGATGTTTTGCAAGGCGATCACCGACTTACACCTGTTCACAAAACCGCTGATGCTGATTCAAGACTGCACTTCCAGTCCAGTGGATGCACATCTGGCACGGACGTTTGTTTACTAGTAAACCCAGATGAACTTACACATGCACTTGCTTCACTCATTTAGATACATATCAAGAAAGTCTTATAAAACAAGCTATTTGATCCTTCTTCTGTACTGTTTCCACAACAAGAAGCGCGCTCTTTGACCCTTCTTCTCTATCTATTCTCAACTAGAACCGCGCCGTGCGTCTGCATTTAAGACAGCAGTGGAAGACATGCATCAATAGCGGCACACTGCCACAATCTTGTGTACTAGTTTGTCCATGAACTTTGCAATGCATACAATACAGATACAGATTAAATCTGGGCTTTTGGTAGTATGACTGTACTGTCATTCATTAATGTCAGCCCTGAATTTTAGCTGCTTGTCATGTTGTCGGAACCTTACTAGCATCCGTAGCAGGCTTACAGAACTGGGGGTTTGGTAGTTTTCGGCTGTTTTCTGATTAGCCCAGTTCTAAAATCAGGGGTAACTCAACCAGGCCGGCTATGTTGTCTATATGCAATCAGAAAATAGCACATAAAAGCTCCCAAAGACCCTGAAGACCCCCCAAAACCCCCGGTTTTTGGCATGCTATGGAGGCTAGAACCTTACGTCATCAAGATAAGTTCAAGAAAAGCTGCAAGAAAGTCCACACGGTTTTCCAACGTGTTTTTTCTGTATTCTTTCGTGATTCAGAAAATCTAATAATATTCACCGTCCGAGTTTTCCTCCATGGTGACGTAGAACGAGGTCGTGTTGCAGAGTCCATCCGGGTCCTTGTAGAGAGTGACGTTACTGGTCAGGTTCACGTGGATGACGTAACCCGCCAAGATGGCGCCGAAGGAATCCAGTTCGGCCACCGGGATGGAGTATCTGGAACGGTTGCACGGAAAGGGTGGTTTTAAAAGTGTTTAATGTAAGGCCACAGCAAGTAAATTTTATGAATGACATCCTCCGCAGATACATGCGAAATTTGAATGCCCAGCCTTGGGAAAGTCAGCACAAGCCAGTCCTGGCAGATTCGCATCTCTACCTTTTTAATTTGCATTTCTGTATTTTTTCCTGCGTTGATGTCACTCCGTGATGTCAGCCCAGGAAAAACGACAGAAATACAAACATAAAACATAGAGATGCAACTAGAGATGCCCAAGGAGGGCGATTGGGAAGCTTGCTAGAGAGTTTCCAACAATTCACCTTTGGAAGGCTGTACAAACTGAATTTCTCAGTCATCACAATTGAAACCAACTTCATGTGACTATATTATATGTATACTTTTGCATATGTTATGTATTTTACAGACTTTTTTGGTGCCATTCGGTCTTTAAAACAACGCCTCATCATCGTGACGGCGAAGCGCCCTTACTGTATGTTGAAGTCCAGCTCTGACGTCACCATGACGCGCCCGTCCGTCTCCAGGGTGAAGACGTCATACGCGCAGCACATCAGCACATACGTCACGTTCGTGGCGTTACTGGTCTGGAGCGTTGCCATGTCAACCACTGGAAGGGAAGAAAACAAAGGAAGAATCAAAAGATGGATCACCTTTACTTTTTTCTAAAGTTAACTCTCAAATACTCACTATTACACAGCTTTACCTTCCTGAAACCCAGCGATTTAATTACTGATTTATAGTTCTGTATCTGTATCTTAATTTTGTAATAGCTTAACTCTGTTTTGTCGTTACCTGGGCGTTCGTTAACCATGTGGCATTGTTTTGTGTTGTAATTTTCATTTTATGCCAAGTGGTGATGTAACTAAAGTATAAGCATACTGCTTGAGTGCGTCACCACTATGTATTGTATTGCTTGCACAGAGCCTCTCAAAAGACAGAGTCGGCACAAACACCCCATAGCAAAGAAGCTGGAAATATACTTTCGACAGATGGACTCTATTATTTTTTAACTGTACCTTAATGTAACTGTAACTTACCCCAACGGTAAGGAAACCACATGGTAAAATACATGTCGTAAAAAACACTTTTCCATCAATTAAAAAATAATTGTAGAGTCCATCTGTCGAAAGTATATTTCCAGCTTCTTTGCTATGTGTCTACTAACAAAGTCTGCTATCACACGCATGTCGGAACTTCACTTTTGAAAAGACCGTTTGAATATTGAAATCGTAGTTCTTACCCAGGTCTCCGACCGTGGAGGTGGCAGGAATGTTAACCTGGAACTCCCGGATGAGGTCACTGTACAGGAGACCTGGATCTACAGCTTCGGGACAAGTCAGAACGGTTACTGAGATGTACCCCCCCCCTCTGGTCACAACAGGTACATACAGCCCCTCCAATTCTTGTATACATAAAAGTACTACTAACAGCACTTCACTTTTCCTGCTGCTTTCGTATATGTGTATGTCTCTTCCACATGTCTAAACTTTGTTTTTCACCACTAACAATGGTTAATGCACAGCTGCTATAGCTATAGCTAGGAATCCGCTATATTTCGCGCCGAGCAGTACCGGATATGACGTGAGTGACTTGTTAGTTTCGAACGGAATTTTGATTAAAAGTTTAGTGAGTGTACTGTTACTCGTGTTGAAAAAAAACGTGACCATATGCATGTATGTGAATTCACAATGTAATTTTTAATTCTCATTGGTAAAGGTGACTTACCGGTAGTGTTTGGGTATAGCAGGGTGGTGTTCAGCAGCGACTATGGAAAATATTGATATTAAAGTCAGACTGGAGTTAAACATTCTAAAATAGTGTTCGGATCGGTGGACTTGGCCTGTATCAAGAGCTGTTTCTATCCATATTTCTTCCATTATTTACTTCCAAAGTCAAAGTCTGTTTTCTTATTATATTGCATTACATAACATAACATTGCATCAATCAGATGGCAAACCTTGAAGCTTTGATTTTGAATTTTTAAATAACTTTTCAAAGTGCATGGTGTTTTTGTTTTAATTTTTAGCCTGGTTGCCTTGCTTCATGTACATAGTACCGAAAGAACAATGCCCAAAAATTCGAACGATTTTGTCTCTGTTACAGGAGTTGCTAATCTCCAAGCAGTGTCCATTAGCCACAATAGATAGTTCCCTTACACTATAGCATTTGCTTCAAGATGGTAGTTTTTGGCGACGTCTAAAGGAGGAGCCTAATGGTACAGTATTGTGTGCAATTCGCAAGAATTCTAGGAATTGTACAGGCATTTTGTCCACAGGCATGCGGAATGTCCACAGGCATTTCTCTGACCCACGTCTATGCCCACATTCCTGGAACCCTGAAGACCTGTCTGCCCCAGATGGCCCTACTTTCTGTGACCCCGGGGCTCGTTCACTATACACTCAGGGGAGGAGTGTACTGTATCTGTCTAGACTTAACAGGTACATGTACCAAGTCTTCCTCAAAATCATGAAATGATGGCAGTGCCAAGCAAACAATAACCCTAACAGCAACCACCGTCGCCATGGCAATGTATGTTTTCAGTGCCAGTCTTGTTGTACTAAAATTTCGCGTGTGCAGTTTGTGTAGGGTTAGGGTTAGAATCCGTGTTGTCTTGGAGATCGAGCAGTTGCTGCATTCTCAGTGCAGTGTGTGTTTATTTGTTTATATAATTGATTTTTCACAAAGTGAAAGGGAGTGCAAAACAGGTGCATACAAACCTTTACAAGTTGCCCTCCCCCATACAAAAACATATATACAACATCAAAATTTACAGTCAATGACAAGTATAAAAATACACAGAATAGGCAATCAATATAGAAGATTAAGCATAATTCAAATATATCTAATATCTAGTCGATAAATTGTGTAGAAATAAGACTTAGTGCGGTCTAGAAGCAATACAAGAACTACACCCACAAAAAGTGGTCCTAGTACGTGGCAAGTCAAGACTGTGTTTTGTACGTACCTGATTCCACGGCACGGTGACCGTCCAGGGCTGTGCTGTACCGCCCGGAGTGCTGGTCCATCCCGCCACGTGAAGTACGGAGTAGGACGCTGCTGTGAAACAACCAGCAGGGAACGTTGTTGAAGTTTTATTTTGTTATATTACAACATTTCATGATCATGACTAGACATGGTGACAGCACAGTCACTCACAAGCAACGTATTTTATTATTTTATGCGGCCACCAACCCAGAGTACGAATACAGGACAGGACAATACTCCTTTTCACTTGAGTTAAGTGAGGAAAGTCGTGTAAAGTCCCTTTCAGAAGGGCACAAGATCTGTGACATGTCAGGACTCGAACACGGGACCTCTTGGTTCCGAGTCGAGCACGCTGCCGCTACGCCGTACGACCCCACGATGAAGGTTAGATATCCAGGTAATAAATAACTATCTAACTATGTTCCTAACAAAAAATGCCCCCCTCCCCATCCACTGTTTTTCTAGTGTGATACCACATAGTAAGCTATTCGCTATTCTTAGTTGCAGTAAAACAAAGCCGTCAACAGGAGTGTTCATTTCCTTCGTTGCCTCCCCCCCCC